TCCATATCCTAAATGGTACATGAGTACGGAATTACTATGTTCGTCCCATCGCTTCAGCAATATTCGCATACGAACCAGACTATCGGCATTCTCGTACAGTATTGCAAAGGATTTCCACTTGAACTCCGTGACAAGTTGATCGTAGAGCTGTAAAAGTTTCGTTGATGATCATTACATCAATATTATGGGTATGCATTGTATAAAACAAAAATTAAGACAAAGGAAAAGTTAAATGACAAATGTTGAATATAGAATATTACGAAGATGTATATGTATGTCACGATTTTACGATAATTATAAATAAGTCGTTAGCTTTCATATTGTGTCCAATGCAGATCAAATTTATATTTTATAATATTTTTGTAAATAGATAATTGATCATTTTGTCAAGAAAATTAATTTTTTTCGGAAAGCAAAACAAAATTCCAAAATTTATTTACTTATTTATATTATTTATATCTAATGCAATTATAATGCCGATCTTTTTAATTACTTACTCGTGATAACGAGTTTATATGCGGATATAGATTCAAACTTAATCCACGTGGGTAGGAGAGTTGGTCAAGATCCTGTCGTACAGAAACGTGTGGCATTTCTATTGTATCGCATATGCTTTGCACGTGCTCAGCAATCACTTTTTCCTGAGGTCCAAAAATTCCCACTATTCCCAAATCTAGCAGATCGCATACTAAACATTTTGAAAAATCGATTTTACAGAGGTACAATAAGAGGTAAAATAAGCTACATAATTTTGATCATACTTTCCAGAAAAATAATACGATGATTATTCATTATTATTGTCACTATTATATCTATGTGTTATATCTTTTTAGGAAAATTCGCGCTGTACATATAAGAACGTAGTTTTTTGCAATGATGAATCGTGATATTTGAGGCTTTTGCGATATATGAATACTAGGTTTGGCTTCCGCGTCTGGCTTCCTATTAGGTATCAGGTTGTTCCACCCTGATGAACTGAAACGTTTACAAAACAGTTGGAATAAAATAGAAGGCTTGCGCGGCAACGCGGAAATCAACCCTAATGAAAAATTCCATTCATGTTTTCTTTAAACGTACGAAACGCAAGTTAGAAATTGTATTTAATATCCCATATAAGACGAGAATGTAATCATTTAATATTTATTTGTTAGATATTTTAGTTCAAGAAGATTGTGCTTGATATTAAATCTAAAACGACACATGCAACAGTTAGTGTTTAGTACAAAATGTGTGATACGATGACACTAGCATTCGCTAGCAGTTTCACCTTTCCACGATATTTCGAACGAATCCGCCTCATCAATCTCTTCCGTTTCCGATATTAAGAACACATTCGAAAGTTCCTCGTTCTCATGCCTGTCTTTGTTCACCGCTCTCACCGACGATTCGAACGTCCGCTGGATTGCTTCATCTTGATCAAACAATCCCACTGTAATATATGATCGGCTCTTTTTAAAATCGAGTCTGACTGACACGCTCGAAATAGCTCACGAAATCACGCTTTTCCCTAAAGTTATGCGCATTAATTTCCCAAATTTCTGATTCAACACAGTTCTATCAATGTTTCTTTTAACATTTAAAGATATTAGAGAAATTGGTTTTATGCGAAAAATTAATGAAAAGAATATTTGAAAACTTTAAATATATACACAGATTTAGTGAATGATAAAATATATAATTTATAGCAAATACTGATCATCTTTTTCAATATTGTAAATATAGTGTAGAGTAGAGACCCTGTAATCAGACTGGCCATAAGAGCTCGTCAAATTCCTGCGAGTGAGAGAGAAACATACGATCGTAGAATCATAGAAGAATAAGGTCCAGTTTCACCAACGTTGTTCAACTTTAAGCTCGGCTTAATTCGTCTCTTGTCTCTTTCTAAAGTAACGATTGGAAAGGAGACAAAGAATGAATTAAACTAAGCTCAAAGTTAAGCGACGTTGGTGAAACCAGGTCTAAGATAGCCTATGTTTCTCTCTCACTCGCAGGAATATGACGAACTCTTATGACCAGTCTCTGATTACAGGGTCTCTAGTTTAGAGATGTTATAGTGTAATACAGACTTTAATGTCCATAATAAAACATTGATACGAAGATGTGGCCTTTTCACATCTTATTCACATTTTGTGCGTCAATTACATTAATAACATTTATCTTACCTATCTGAACTTTTTTCGGGAAACCTAGCACACACGCGTAGGACAGGAATATCGGCAATATCAGTAGAGACTTGGTCACCATCTTATGGTCTTTCTGCGTACACACAACGAATGGAATTAAAATGCATCAGCTTACTGGTGAGCATCTTGACAGGTGCAAATGTGTATCCAACAAAGTCAGATATAAACGGCACGTACGAAGCGCACGTATAGCCAAATGGAAAGGTCTCGAACGAGCACTTAACTGGCCGACGTTATATAAACTAACCAGTAGGCACCGCGCCGCCTGAAAGTCGCTCTCGGCGCGTATAAATATTTAGACCCGTCTAAAATCAATCTTCCAATATTGAGTTTAGTTATTTGCTTGATGCTTATACTCTTAATAAATCCCTGCGAACCCTCTGAGGGATCCCCACGTTACTTTCCCAAGTTTATTTTATCTGTTGTGAAAATAAGTTTCTCTTTTTCTTTCTGTCCTCCTGTATGTTGTTACAGCGATTCTCAGATTGTGTGCCATAAAGTAAATCAACAATAACGTGTTATATAAGCAATTTGTCAGCCGTGCGCGATACTAATTTCGATAAATTAATACCCGATGCACGCGAGAATTGTCATATTCTTTCTCAGTTTTCTAAAAGCTCTTGGGCAAATTTAAATGTTTCTTCAGCAAAGTTTATTCATCATTTTATCTGTGGCTATTGCCGCAGCTATCTTCACAAGCTATGATTTGAAATTGTCATCTACGCGAATACAAATTAAAGTATTATTTCATTTTACTCAACTCCCATAAAACGGTTAATTTAAACTTTTATAAAGTCGAATAACATATATCTTTCGCTTTTATAAATTTATATGTACTTTTGCAAATTTTCATTGCAGAACTTTTGACAGATAAAATTATTCAAAATTTTTATTTGACTATTTTATTACAGATACATACAGACATTCCCTATATAACGTCAGAAAATTAATTCAATTTCTGTTTAAAGGAATCAATGAAAATAATTGAAACTGCTGAAAAACAATATTACATTAACGTCATGCTCTTAAAACTTAATTCATTGCTTTAATTATTTAGACACCAACACCCTATCACGCTTCTAAGTCTTCTTACTTCTTCGAATTTCCGTTCAACACCGAGCTTTATGCATTTAATTCTTTCAAGGTTTTACAAAAGTTTTAAAATTCCTTAACCACTTCATTATAACTAGATTCTTAAAAAAAAATTTTTTTCAGATAAACTTAAAGTATTTAGAGAAGAAAACCTAAGTACAATATAATTACTAAAGTCCTGAATAAAAGTTATGCACTCGCAAATACCTGACTTGATAAACATTTGTTGTAATGAGCAATATTTCGCAAAGGTTAATTAAAAACTTCATAAGTGCATTTTCTACGCCGGAGACCAGCGTCTACCTTGAGCGTGTGAATTTTTAGCGACAACGCACGCATTCGGAGTTCCACGTAGCCTACTGTCATCGTGCCAAGTGCACGCAGTCTGGCGCGTTCTTTTTCATTCATTCATTCGTAGCTCAAGCTCGCATTCATGCCTATGATTTATCATGGCCGATCTAGTTATTTCACACAGCGTCGGATTATTTAATTGCGCCACGCGCTACGAGTAATTGTCAAACATCGAGGGTCGTCGCGATCAAGGTTTTTTTAGACGGTCCAGCACGCGACGTCGACACAGCACATGGACAACTAACGAAAATCTTAAGAGAACGCATAACTACGTCGATATATTTAGACGCCAAGCATCGCCGCCGCCACTGGTGCTTGTCGCGTTCGCCGTGCGACATAGATTTCGACGGTATACAATCGAAGATACTTTTTATCCGAGAATCGCCGTTGCGTGCCAATTTTCTGTCGGTCTCAAACATTTATTTTCCCCGTCTCTTCTACGTTCTTCATTTTACGTGTATATTTTGTGATATTCGCTGACACGAGGGCATTCTCCGCCGTGGATAGATCTAGTCTTTTTATCAAGCGCGCAGCCGTACGTATCGTCGCGTTTGGAGAAACAAATTTGCCCAGGCCAATCTCCCAGACTTCCCTCCAAAAACTCGTTTTACTTCGATCGTTGGAGACCAGCTGAATATTCTCGGGGAGGATTTTCAAAGGGGCGGAAGCGCGCGGCGCGAGTTTTATACCAATTGCAGCACGTAACCGGTATTCGACTTATTGCCAATCGGGAACCGTTATTCCGCGAGAGGATCGTGTCTAAGGGCTCGCAAGGGCTTACCTAAAAACGTGATGCCGCTGCTCGTTCCACTTGGCACGGAACTTTTGAGACGCGTGCTTTGCCGTACGAAACTCGCGCGGCACGCGACTCTAAATCCGAACGGCACTTCTCGCGCGGCTCATCTCGGCAGCGCATGCTCTAAAACTCCCTTCCCAGATTTTCACGATCCGTCGTGGCGACGAGAAACGCTTGTCGTCCGCGTCGTCGTCGTCGACGGACAGAGTGGGAATCTAATGCGCGATAATATTTTTAGGGAAACGATACTAATTCGTCTCGGTGTCGGTATTATAGAAACCTAAGAAATTTCAAAAGAAGTTTAATATTTTAAAGAAACCTTCCGGTGATCTTGATACACTCTATTATTTTTAAAATCACACCTTTATCGCGTAAACGTTAACCGAATCGAAACCGATCTCCACTCATTTGATTTCGTGCTACGAAAGAATAAAAAACCGTAATAGGTTTTTGAAAATCTCAAATATTGTTCCGACCTCTTCAGTCTCCGTCGCTCTGCAAAGTTGTCAACGCTGTGCGCCTGCAATGGTTTGCGTGCTGCAAAATCAGTATCTTTCCCAAAAATGAGAAAAATTTGAAAAATGTTAAAACTTTGTTTCCTGCGTATAACGTTAGCAATGATAACAGTGAAAAGTTGCATAAAAATAATTATAGCGATGAAGTAGATCCAATTACGTTGATGCTCAGCAAGGGTGGAACTGGGAGAGCGTTAATTTAAGTGTTGGAGAAATTAGTTGCGTGGGTAGCGTAAACCAAGATTGCAATCGCAGGTAATTGTATAACCACAGGCAATTAATACGAAATTGAAATGAAAATTACCTGGCGCTATTACTACCTGGAAGTAAGGGAAAAGATGCTGCTTTATTCTTATTAATACTTTAATCTTGTAATTTATCTTACCGACTTTTATCTCCATTGTTACAAGTTAGTAGCATTATTTTTTTATCAGTATTTTATGTAAAAAAATTAGTTTGTATTTTGTTAAAAGCGAAATACGAATTCATTATTGAAGATATCTCTTACATAAAGACGTTATTATATTTTATCTATATATCAATCAATTGTGTACAAGGATATCTTAATGTATATAATAAACACTTTGGCAGTTTTGAGGTGTAACATTAAGATTTTTAGTTATACATAATTTTATTTAAGATTAAAAAGAGATTGTCTTACAATTTAATCATATTTGCCGGGACAATGTGGGAGCAATAGAGAATCGATGAACAATAGTTATTAATTGTGAGATTAGCGATAAGATTGCCACGATCAGACAACAGTCGGTCCATCTGGGAAAAGGGTGTGACGGTGGCAATTATAAGAGGGAGCGTTTCAATGAGAATTTACAGACGATTAATTTATTCACATTTAATTATGTGTTGATGCTTGTAGTACATTTTATATAAGAAGTGGAATCGCGATAGGCTTTTAACAAACTCGTATCGTGTCGCGACACATGAACGCAAGTATGCAATAAGTATGCAATAGTATCGACGATATTTACAATGAGTATACATGTGTACGTGTACGGGTGTATATGCGTACGTGTCGCATGTCTGCGCGTACATCTCTATGGTTCTGTATTCAGAATTCGGTAAACTGTGTACAACGAAATTCGTATGGAAGGTGCAAGTATAGGAGAAAGAACCAAAATTGTATTTTACCTCGTTCCTCCTCGCTTTTACGCTCGATCTTAAAATAGTGTCCGCGTACAAGCTACCGGAATGTCACACACTCTTCAACACACGGCGTCGAGCATTCATACCTTGATTTACGGCACTCTGTTCCGAGAGCTTAAATATTAGACTGGAATCGCGGCGCGCTCGTTTCTCTCTTTTACGCTTACATTTTTCTCCTTTTACGGTAGTGGGAAGACTCAAATGAATACTGCTTGGTTCACAAGGTCCGCATAAACGCGATCGAACGGAAATGTTAATCGAACGAATATCAGCGGGAACAATGACGTGTATTCCTTGAAAGCAATCCTGTCGGGGGAGAGTGGAGCAGTCTTTTACGTTAGATAGAATATCGTCAATGCGTTACGCGAACGCGGCTTGAAATATATTATCTACATAGTCTGGATAATTTGAATAGCTTAGACAAGTAATTCTAGTTTACTCAAATAATATCTCAATGACCTCATGGACCCCGTCAGACCAGCTAAGGGCAGGAATAAATTCAGATAAAGGATGTTCAGTAATTTTAACTACTTATCGTCAATTGTACATACGAAACGTTGAATTGCGTTACAAAATAGTGCAAATGACCATTCGCGGTATCAGGTCTCGCAGATCTTAATCTTTAGATGGAACGCGTAAAAATTCTCTTGCGCATTATTTATATTTTTCATGGGGGAACCTCTGAAATCGCTATTGTATGCGCGTGTAATTTACGTTCCACCGTGTCCGAAGATTGGCAGACACCTGGAAAAAAGTTTCTTTGCAAATCAAGCAAATTTCCTTTGAATTTTCAAAGGCGAACTACTTAGGTTTCATAGGTAATTTGCTAAGAACTAGACTTTCAGTTAATTTCCAAGAAATGATTTCTTTACCTTAACCAAAATTTCGATTGATTAAGGCCCGGCTTTACCAAACGTTGCTTAACTTCAATCGTTAGTTTAATTCATGTTCGTCTCCTGCTAGAGTAACAGTTGGAAAGAGACAAAGAACGAATTAGGCTAAGCTTAAGGTTACGCGACGTTGGTGAAACCGGACCTAAGAGTGGAATCTCTAAGAGAATTCATATTCGCTTCTTCAAATCTAGCGAACGTTTTAGTAGAAGTAAGTAAAAATTTAAAGAGATTTAAGTAGATTTAAAGAAACACGTTTTAGTAGAAGTAAGTAAAAATTTAAAGAGATTTAAGTAGATTTAAAGAAACACGATTTCAACGTATCTCATTTTTGTTCAACTTAAACAAATCTTTTTTCTAGGTGTACATGAATGACAATATTCGAATTGGTTTCAATAAAATATTTTACGTGATAACGACGGTGCATCTTTAATGCCGATGAAACCACACTCCATTCCACGCGACTCTTGTTCACTCGCTTGTTTTCTCGCATGCATCCACCTCGCATGACGCTAACGGATTTTACGAGGGTCTAGATGGATTTACGATGGACTATCTTATTCAACGGTGGCTCGTAAAAAAGGACAGACGTGTACACGATTAGAATTAAGTCCCTGTTTCTTTTTACACAATTTTCCTCTAAATCGTATCGCGAATTCCCGTCGCAACGAATTTACAGCATCCTCTTAGTGCTAAGAGCTTTTAGTGGCGCCTGCTTTTTTTGCCATCAGGAGATGCGGTATCAAAGTGTTTGACTTGACAACATTCAATCTCGCTGCAATTGTCCGACGATAAGTCACGTTTTTGTTATAATTCTTTTCTTGTTATTTTTGCGGCGATTTCATTTTCCGGCTCGTATTTCGAATTGACCGATCGTATATGTATGTTTCGTATATGAGTGAGGAAGTAATTAACTTTGCAAAGAGATTCATCATTCGGCCCTTCCTCGACTGGACGTCCCTTTGTTCACGTCAGGGGTGCTTTTCCAACGAAGTGCCTGTACTTGTTGCATGCCGCGTACTTGCCCTCCTCCGAAACGATCGACAGACTTGAATGTTGCCCATGACGTCGACAAAGCGCCTTCCTCGACGGCTTTTTATTTCCGTTGCCGCAGTCCAAAGCGTATCGCAATTCGCTCGCCATTTCCGAGTACACGGACTTCTGAAAGTTCCACGAAAGGACGATTGCGAGAGCTCACATATTGAACCGTGAACGAGTTATTCAGCTCAAACTCACAACTGAAATTCACAATTTTCTTCCTTTCCGCTTTGTTTACCAAAAAATGCAATTAACAGTTGACAAAGGGTCACCTTACTGTCAGTCTAAAAAGTTTGAGCGGAAAAACTAATATCACTTATGGACCTATAATACATAATGCAACTAAATGTATAACAGAAGAGATAATTGAAGATAAAAAGTTAATATTTTGCTAGTGAAATAATTTTAGATTGATATTTTAGAAAAATTCGGCAGAAAGTCTTGGGTAAATAATAAATTACTACTGGCCACAATTATACATGCAAGCTCGTGCGTTTAGAAAGCTCCAAATCTTTGAGGAAATTTGACAGTGAAAAATGTAAAAAGGTAAGTGAGCTCACCTCCTGTGAATCCGTGACGGGGGAGAAGCAAGAAACATTGCGACACGACTAACAATGTCATACTAAACTGTCACACAATGCGCGCCCTTTCAATTTCATTTACAGCTAGTAATAATGCAACGTTTCGAAATCGCAATTTCCGTACAAGTTACTTCGCCACGACACAGAGATTTGTCTATTCAATAACGAATTTTCGGAAGTCCGCGTGCTCCTCCTCATGGATCGGAAATACTTTACACTGCGGCAAAAGCTGCACGTGGATAAAGGTGATTGTTTCTTAATATATTGTAATATTGTTCCGTACGTTGGTTAATTTCTTATTCAAATCGACATCAAGATGTACGCATTACAATGTACATATAAAGTAAAAAGATGAAACTGAATAGTTATACAATAATTATATTATTCCTTTAGTAAATACGACATTGCTTAACAAAAATTTAAGTAAAATCATTTACAGAAACGAGCGTCCCGGCAAATCGAGCTTCATGATTAACTCTTCAACTCCGAAAAGTCTTGTTCTTTGCTTAATCAGAAGAGATTTCTTTAAATCTATCGCAATATAAAAATTAAGAATCGCACAGTATAAAAGAGAAAAAATAAAGTTGATCGAGAGAACGTTTTGTTTTGTAAATATTTTTAGCATCATTTTAATACCATCGGAAATAATACTCGAATTTTAGGGAAAACGCGGTGGGTTCCCTTCATATCCACTTGCTCTTTCGAATTATCACTTAAATTATCAACTCGAGAAGCGAACGGACTTCCGCGCACACTTACGATCACATATTGGTTACCTCGACAGTTACATATTATGTACAGTAAAATGTCTTGTATTCTCCTCTGGTATACTATACATTCACTATCTAGCCGGTATAAAATCGTGATTGTTCTTAAAAGTTCATCCGCAGCACTATATAAGTTGCGAACACCGCGGCTCTGTTCTTTTAAAGGTATTTTAATGTCGATTGAAACGTTTGCGACTTCGCGAGGAAGGATTCGGCCTTTCCCATTGCGAGGCTTAAAGTCTTTGTTTATTAATCTAAGTTTTGATATGAGCAAATGGCAAACACGTTGACTTTTCCAATCTTTCTTTTACCGTCTTTTCATTTCGATTATTTGTTATACGTGTGTATTAAGTTAATACGTACGTGTTTCTATTGAAAAATTCGTGCCGTTATTAAGCGAATTTCAAGTCTGCTCGCCATAAACGGAAATTTGATATTGTATAATTCTGACAGAGACAGGTTGGTTTATTTATCAAAATGTTGAACAAGTTAAACTCTTGCGAGTGCCGTGACTCGGGGAGAAATATTTTCCAAACAATTTCGTTGAATTAACTGACACATTTTGACAGAATTTTACAAGGAAAATTGGAAGAGTCAAGGCTTGTTGCTTTTCTTGTCCGATTATTTTCATTTGTCCCTATAATTTTACGGTCTTTATACAGTTTTCCGATCTCTCGTGTGATGGAGTTCTTCCTTAGGTCCACTGAACTCGGATCGGATACGCTTTGAGGTACGGCTTGAGTTTAATAATCTGTTTTTTCGCAGCGCAGCGCGTACCGTCGCTAGTGCAGATCAGTAAAACCTTCGCAGATCGGTTTCCCCGAGGATTTCTGCTTCTAAAACAGAACACCAAAATGCCCGAGTCAGATTCGTTACATCAGTCACTGTTGCAATAATCAAAGCGGGAAAAGTGGTTGCGCCAATTATCGATGCTCATTTAAGAAGCCAACGGAAAAATAACTCGCAGCTCCATCGTGCTTTCTCATTGCTTCTTTGACAGTACAAACGTATTAAGAATCACCTATTGTCAATTGTAATCCTTTACTCGAATCATCGCGATTAAGCGTCACTCCACGACGGAAATAAGATCCAATCGCGTATTTCCATAATTCAACGAGATAAGCAATATATCTCGTTTATTTGTGCTACTTGTTTTTTTAATTATTGCGACATGTGGTCTATTGAATTCTATCGCATCCAATATTGTGACAGTCGCAATACTGATAACGAGGAATGCGACTCGGCCAAGCCTTACATAACATAGAAATTCAAATATGCCATCCGATCTGTTCAAAAGCCGTGCTATTCATCGCAGGATGTGAATCTCGTCCCATGATCGATTTAAGCGGATTTGAATTTTTCGAGAGGGTTTCGCTCACCGTGCCTCTCTACAGAGAGTGCAGCGCGGTTTGAAAGGAGGCACAGTAATACCACCGACGTCCGTCAGCTCATAGAGCTGTTTGCTTTTGCGTATACGTAGGGAATGATCCGCGCAAAGCATATTCGTATCCCTGGGCGAGTCCTCCTCAAATAGTTGCCTGTTTGCTTACCCCTTTGGATATATGTAAACGGTAACGCGAACACATGTCGCTTAAAACCGCGTGCCGGTCACCGTGGGTTGCGCAGCGCGGGACTTTGCATACGTTAATTCCATTTTCCGCGCTCGACCGACGCGAATTTCGCTGGGAATTTTTTCATCAAGTTCTCTTTCGCTACGCTTTTATGGCCGCGTCTCCCCCGGTAATCACGACGCTTACGTACAATGCCAACACGATTGTCTATCTATGTATTTGTGCGAGTGACTGTCTAGAGATTAGACCAACCAATGCAATTCCGTGATGCTAAAATAGACGGAGAGAAATGTATTTAAAAATACAAAATTGAGAGAGTGAATCGTTTAGCATCTACAATTTATGGAAATGAATCGGGAAGGAGGGTGAGCGAATGTATGAAGACTAGCCGTTTTTAAACATCAATAATGAATTCCGCGAAATAAATTTCCAGCGAATCCTCCCGCCCTCGTTCCGTTTCTCGCGCGTCAAAGGGGCTCGAATTGTTCGGACTTGTCGCAAAATACTCTGGGCATTTCTTCAGCGTGGAGGCTCGAAGCGACGCGTCCTCGACGGCGAGCGAGGGCGTACGAAGTGCCTTGCCGGTCCGACTAACGACTAATCGCGCAACAGCGGGACAATAACGAGGACAATAGCGTACGGGAACAACGGCGCGTGGCGGTCACGATAGCGGTAGAAAAATGAGGGAAGTTACGTGCGCGCGGGGGCTGCAATTCTCATCGTCCCCGCCGACGACATCGCCGAGAGTGCCGAGCCTGGCGAGCGATCAGACCCGAGTGGTTCTGTATCGAGACCATTAGAGAGGAACTCCACCGTCGTGCGAGCATCAACTGATGTATTCGCGCGGTATGTCGGGGTAGATCGCGTCAGGGTCGAGCCGGGCGCCGGCCGATCCTGACGCGGAGGTCCCCGGCGTGGTCGCCGCGCTGCCGTCCTCCACGTGCTACCTCGCGTCACTCACCCGCTCCTCGATGGCCACTTTCCGGCTCTTCCACACGAACTCGCAGACCGCGATCACGCAGGCGACGCCCATGCCGCCCATCAGCACCACGAAGACACCGCCGACGTTCGCCAGGCCGAGCTCGTTCGCCGCCGAGCTGCTCTTCGAGGTGTCGTCCTGGCCGTGGGAGAAACATCGATTAGCTTGTGGCGCATTAACGCGGGCGGTTACAGGTAGAATATGGTCCGCTGCATCGGTAATGCACCGCTGGGGAAACGGCGGTTTTCGCGTTTAGTCCGTTGTGCACGTCGTTAATGCACGCGCGGCTTTCGCGCCCGGGCGTTCATTATTGAAGCGGTTCGTGGAGGGCTGCGCGTCGTGGATAATATCGTGAAAATCTCATCGCGCCCACTCGTATTCGGGTTGACGGATTAAAGTGTTGTGGGGAAAGCAAGTCGCACGTTGGCTATTAAATCTTCTAATCGGCGTTGTGATTAAGTTTTCAATGTTTAATGCTTAATCGACACTTTACGCGAAAAGGGATGTAAAGTGTTTCGTATTGTAGGTTTTTTCACAATTTTTTGTACACAGCTCTATCTTTATATCTAATTAATAATATAGAGAAAAGTCCTCTATTATGAGATAGGCTTCTAATATGAGACAGCGGGTTTTCAACAAGAAAATTGAGTCACAAATCTTTATTCACAACAATTACACAATCTAACAACGAGTTTTCCCACTAAACAAATTCCACTCCGAGGGCAATAAATTCACTAATAGATGATGAAGCTATTAATTTAGCGAAAACCCCGCTGCCTCATAATAGGGCTTCCTCTATTTATTTATGATTGTGACATAAAAAGTACCTTTTTATTAAAAATTTTACTCAAAGAGAAAGAGTAAACAAGGCACACATCGTTTCAAAATAAAAATTTATATTCAGAATAAAATTAATAACTGCAGTTTTCGAGCACAGCGTGAATATACCAATTAAATTTCTATCGTTTTACAAGAGCCGCGAGTGGAGACTGACATCGAGGAGTTAATTCCTCCCGTGTCACTGTAATCATCCATCTACGTTCGTCCGTCAAACAGCCACAAGTTTGCTCGATGGAGGAGAAGCCGGTGAATTATCGGAAGAATTTATCGGCGTAGCTGCGCGAGAAATAGCAGTGCGCGCAACGATGATCGCGAGCGCGGCGAAACCTCGGTTTCGTGAATTCGCGAGATAGTCTTCCCCGCGCGCCCTCTCAGCCCCCACCTCATCCCTGACGGATGAGAGGAGTTGCTGGAGTCTGGCGCAAGAATTTCGAACGCGCACTTCTTGAGTGCGTTAGCGCGCCAGGATATCCCTCATGAGAAAAGTGGGAGAAATGACGGTGGATTAAAAGCGAATTCACACTGTAGCTTTTCTTCTAAAGGCCGCACCACCCGATAAGCTGGACGCAGCAAATAAAAAAATTCTGGTGGGTAACAATTAATTGGAACGGGCGGAAACTCCATGCGAAAATGTAGACTAAAGGACCGTTAAAGTTTTCTTGGTCGATTTACTGGCCGAAGTAAAAGACAATAAATTGAAATTATTGTATATGCTGCATCTGTTTGAATCGTTTTCGCAAGAATCATTAATTTATCTCGTGTTATAAGGGTATCTATTCTATTTTCTGTCGAAAAGGTTTTCTCTCAGGATTTTTCAAACGAATCTCTCCGCGAGTTAAATTCTTTCGCCGTTTATCATCATCAAGTAACAAGTTTCTGAAAATTTTTATCGCAAGGCTCGCGCGTCCCGAGATTCCACGAGAAACCGTATAAATTCGCCTTGAGATACATATTAGCTCACCCTGCAGGAGCCGCCGCCTCGTTTCTCCTTCCACCAGCGCGTCTTCAGCATGTGGAGCTTCCCTTCCTCCTGGAGCTTCAGGATGGCCCCGCTTATGGCCGTCTTGTACGGCGAGTCTGAAGTTCCAAGGTCGTTTTGAGCAACTCCTCCTAGGCTGCTTTTATCGCCTCGTAGCGTCGCGGTACTTTCGCAGAACTTTCGGAAGTACTGTTGCGGCAATCGTTCCCTCGCGCCAACATTTCGCCGGCAATCTGGCCCGCGATCGTTTCCTTCACGGCGACACTCGCTATCGAGCGGCATTTTCGCGCAGCCGCGAGATCATCAGGGCAACCGGCAACGCGATTCCATTCGATCTCACGGGATAAGCCCGGCTAGCTCGCTCGCGCGAATCTCTCGATTCAACGAGGGAACGATTTGCATTTTCTTTCTATCAGAAATTTCATTTGCGTGAAGGAAAAGTTTTAATTGAATGGCAATTTCTTTTATTCAGTCGAGTCGATGGGCCGATTTAAGTACCTTATACTGCAATATTGATTAGGCACATTTTCCCTTGCAAACCAGCGTCCGCTACTTCTTTTAATGGGAATTATTAAGATGTCGTAATGTTGGAAGTTGATAAACGAAATTGCCTTTTCTTTTTGCCAAATTATTAAAGTTGCGCGTAATTCTATAAACTTCCGCAATAACATCCGTAAAGAAGCGAGAAAAAGAGAAATGAGCGCAGCAGGAGCTAAAAACCCGTAGATAGAAATAGGCTAAATAATATTATTCGTGTAAACATCGGGAAAGAGCTGATCCTTTAATGGAAATTATGAGGATGTCGTAATGTTGGAAGTTGACGAACGGAAATATCTTTTCTTTTTGTTAAATTATTAAAGTTGTAATTTTATAAACTTCCGTAATAACGCCCGTAAGGGAGCGGGAAAGAGAGAAATGAGTGTAGCCACGAGTTGAAAAGCCGTGGATAGAAATGGGATAAATAATATTATTCGTGTAAACATGAGGGAAAAGCTGATATTTCATATTTCAAACGCGAAGTGTATTAATACGCCGTGCGTTTGCATTAGATTGAATGCGACGAACGTAATGATACATCCCTTAATAATTATGGATTTTAATGCCCCGCCATTGATCACAGAACCGACGCTGATTAATACTTCGGCCACAGAGCCATTTATTATCCTGAAATTTTGATTCGCGTATCTACCGAGTAATGCGCGTGGATTGCCGAGACGCGGCAAAAAAATTTAATTAGCACGCTTTGCATTGAATAACATAGCGTTGAAACCCACAACTATTGAGGGACGTATTACGCGCCCGGCTTGTGTCCGATCAACGTGAGTCGACGATATATTAAATTACTTGGTCACAAACGAAGCGTCGCGACTGCGGTAATTCAAGTATTCAAGCGATATAAAATTTATCGGAGAGGCAGTTTCTTTCTTTCGTATTATTTTCAATGCGCGCGAGTAAATTGTGATTTTTCAGCCGTACGAAAATTATTTCGAGAAATTTACGCGCACGTTTACTTTACCTCTCGCGTCTCTTTTCCTTCACGCTTTTCCTCTTTCTAGTTACCGAGGGGTAAACCTCTGACTAAAATCACGTACACAAACGCCTATCAACGCCCGGTGGGCGACACTTTATCTTATTATCTTATTTTATCTTGTTTTATCTTTTTAGATTCTTTATAATGCCACAGCAAGGCCAAATAACACCCACCCGCGTAGAACATTTTCTGGGATCTAATCGGGATCTAGTTCGATTTCCCCCAAAAAATTCTAGATTCTGACTAGGAAATCTGGCAATTACTAGTGTTGTTATTCTTTAAACACTTTGAACATATATTTATATGTACACTTAATTTATTAATTGCTGACGAAGAACCGCTAAGCTATTATTTAATCGTGAAGTGGTACCGTTTTACGAGTAACGTTTGCTTTTTGTCATCGCGCGACTGCGTTTAAAATTAGTTTTACACAAAATACTACATAATATTATACATTAAAACACAAACATGGGATTCCCTGTTCGATTCCATACAGATGTACCGATTTTAATCGTGAAAATTTCCCACGTTGTTTCTGTTCCGATTCTATACGGAAAAGCCATATTTGGTACACTGAGAAAAATGTCCGATTAAATATAATCGGATAATCCAATTACATGATAACAAACGGATATATCCGATTAAATTGTATATCCGATGAAAAATTTGATCGGTTTTTCAATCAAATTTCATCGGTATTGCATTTCATCGGATAAATTTCATCGGATATATCCATAATTTAATCGGAAAACGTAATCGGAAAAATTAACCATCGGACATACTATTTAATTGGTTTATCCAATGAAAATTTTTCTCAGTGTACCAAAATGGATTTTCCAATTGGAATCGCACGAGATATACCTATGTGGGACACATTTCTGTTGTAGTTGAAAGACTTTGGGAATTTTCTATACGGGCGCTAGTGCCGAAAAAATGTCTAGTAATGCCCGAAATCCGTAGAAAATGCCCTCGACGGTTTACCCCTCGTTCTATACGTGCCGCGTGAATTTTTCCCCCGATTGGCCGCGCGCAACGCACACATGCACAGAGCATTTCTATTAACACTCACTTCTCGGCATGGCTATGCCGTATCCCTTGGAGTCCAAGAGACCGCCGACTTGAGTAAGGTCGCAGTTCCTCTCGATTACGTATTCGATGGAGGTGGATTCCATCAGGAACGCGTAACTGCCTTTCCCCTTGATCACTCGATCCACGCCCTCGACGTTACTCACCGTAAATACCGACGGCTTCGCCGAGTCCATGAAGGACCACATGCGTTGGTACGTCGAGAAATTGGAATCCTAGATCATGCCGGGAATTTCGTGGTTGAGTACGCGTGCCGTTAAACGGTGGAACGTCGGAGTGGAAATCGGTTAACCCCGAAGTAGGCATGCCTTACTTCGGAGGCAGGATATCGCGTCTCGCTTACATCCCTAATTGCACGCACCGGCGCCCTCGAATTAATAGGAGAATATTCTCGGGTCGCATCCTGCGGTTCCGCTGTTGCTCTGATTGGAGATTCTTAGTCCGTCAGGGGCGGATTTAACTCAATTACTCGCGGGATTCGAGATAACAATAGACTACCTCATTTAACCGGTATATTGCTCAGACTGCGCTTTGTATATAGTTTCTTGTTGAACGGCATTCGCGGTTTTCCGCGCACACCGCGCATTTTCCTGACAAGCGCATCTTGACCCACGATACGTAAAACGCGCGCCTCGATGCCATTCTACTTTTGGGAAGAATGCATAATGCAAAAGCCGTTAATCTCACCTTGAAGAAGCTCGCCGTGCTGCCGCCTTTGAGCGCGCCGTATTTGATCTTCGTCTGCTTAGCGAGATCCTCGGCGCTCTCGATCGGGGAATCCATCCTCTCGACGGTGAGGAAAGCCGCGAGATTAGCCGTATAAGAGGAGATCATGATCAGCGTGAAGAACCACCACATACCGGCGACCATGCGAGTCGACACGGCCCTACGGTCAGAGATCAAAGGCTGCGTACTATTTTCCACCGCAAAGCGCCTTAAACGGAAAATCCGTCGTGCGAATTTGCGCACAAAGTGGTCCGCGTAAATCGCCTCTCGTTTGTAGATCCGCGCGCGATAAAGCAGAGCGTGTCGAAAATACGAATCGCGGAAAATGGAATCAATGGCACCTGCACCGTTCGCGCGGCAAGTTTTCGAGGGCAACTTTGCGCCTTGCACGCGGGGGTAATGGAGCGTGCGGAAGTTCAGCTTCGCTTTATGTAACGAGCCAGCTGTATACGTCGCGGGATATAACCCGTTTCGCAGTTAAGCGATTCGCGCTAGCTATTAAACGGCGAATGCTGGGGTGCTGGCGAGCGGCACGGACGATGTATGCGAAACGCGTGCGGGCGAATTATTTTACATGCGAAAACTGCCGAGTATACATAAACGCAATTATGTCATGTATAACGAGCACGTGGAATTATTGGAAACTACTTGTGTAACGGCATTCCAAGCTTCCGTGCGCATGCCACGCAATATCATGCATTTCGATAACTAGGTACGAGCAAAGCGCCGGTGATTAATTTTGCCGCATTTGTACACGGCATACCGGAAATCGCATCGCAAGGCTATCATTCCTTAACGAATCCTGGGATCATAATTTTCGTTAGAACCGCCTTTCACCCGAAGAGACCTTTTAATTTCGCGCGTTAGGCGTCTCCCGCTGATTCAGTGCGGAGTTAATTTTCTGTTAAGAGGCAGTCCGCCTCGAATTAACTAGAAAGTAAAGTTTTGTTACACACTGCCTGCAGCTTCGTTCGCCATAACCCTTTAATTAAGTGGATTCCTAATTAAGCCATCGATTAAGTTTTCATTAAGGGAAAAGTCGACACCAAACGCCGTTAAGGAGCGCATCCCCGCCACGTAATTCTCACGTTTTCCGGCATACTTGGTGTACAATCAGTTGCAGCAAGCCTACGATATAGCACAGCCCAGTTTATCGGTTCTCACATCGTTCGCATAATCATCTACGAAAACGCGCCGCACAACGTTCGCCTCCCGCGATTACATTAGTTTCATGTCGCTGATGCTCGGCAGCGGCACAATCAAGTCTATATTGTCGCACTCCTTTATATTGGGTTGATGCATCAGTTCGTCCCGTTTTTAAATATTTGCGCACTTTATATATGAATTCGATCAGCTATCAACTTCACACTTACGTGACGTATTAAACATCTCAAAGTAGCAATTGAACTTTACCGTCAAATTTGTTGTCGCCGATCGATGTTTGGGTCGTGTTTTATAAAGATGGGTAAAAATCATGCTTTTTTTTATCTTCGAAAAGGCAAAACTGCTGTTCAGACCAAAAGAAGCCTGTGTTCTGTCTACGGAGAAGATGCTATTGATGATTTCGTAAATGGTTCCGACGGTTTCGCAATGGAAATTTTCATCCCGCAGATGAGAAACGTTCTGGACGGCCGATAATTGGTGGCCGCAAAATCTCGGCCCTGATTGAAACTGATCGTCGTAAAGCAAACTCGTGAGATTGCACGTATCGCTGATTGAATGTGCACCGACGAAATGTAATGGGCATGAAAGTTGTGGTTTAAAAACGGGACGAACTTATGCACCAACCCAATATATACCGCGTGCTTCTTCGGTAACTTACTTCGGCGCTATATCGGAGCCTTGCTGCATGAGCGAGCCTATGGTGAACCAGAGCGAGTTCAGTAGGGTGAACTCGTTCTCAAGGACCTCGGACTGCCCGTTGCACGGATGGGGGTTCTCCCACTCGTAGGGGCTGAACCTGCGGGCAGGTGAAAGGGGAAGGACCGAGATTAGATGTCAAAGCGTGCATCCTATTCGCGGGTTGCCTATGTGCGTCCTCTCTGAAATTGACCATGTAAATTTCTCGAATTATATTATATACCTCGTGCGGTCGGCGAACCAATTGAGACCCTTTGCTGAAGCGATGCAACCTTTTTATCACGACGTTGCACAAGAACGTGTGCGAATATACAGTGTCGTCGCACTAGCGTTCAAAGAAATGGTAAATACAATGAGGAATGATTATTCTGATACGGATCTCGTTTCTCTTGGCGTTAAAAGGTTAATTTTGTTATGGCGAGATCATTGTTTTATATCGCCTGATTGTGTACTCGCTTGTTTTTAATGAATTGTGCAAAGTCGTAAGTTACAAGTGCTATTTCTTCTTTTCTTTAATCAGGCGCGCGTTTAGAAATAGTACGATCGAGTATAACTATTCCAGTTGGCTTCCGTGCTGATATGAATACGAAAATTGCTCGTCTCGAGGTGACTCGTACGCTTATGTTTCCCACTAATCGATCGCTCCTACGATATATGGCACGAAGAAGGCAATGATATTTAGTTTTGCTATAATTGAGCAGCGTGACATGCAACAAATGCGACGGGCACGTATTTTGAGCACGGAGATGATTATCTCGATGCGTGAAAGGGCTTACTTTGGTAAAATATCACAACCCTGCCGCATTAGGGAGCCGATGGTGAACCACAAGCAGTTAAGGAGCTTGAAGCGATTCTCCAGACGGTCCGGATTTTTGTTGCACGGATGCGGGTTGTACCATTCGTACGGAGTGAATCTAAACTTAACGATTCCAAACACGTTCTGATTCCAATGGCATCGAACGCGGGTTTTGTCGTAAACAAATTACCTTAAACCTTTTCGCACTTATTTCATAACGCGTTCATCTCGACGTATACGCTACAATTATTTCAACAAATTTTTATAAAGTTTGTAAAACATTTTTGTGAGACAACCAACGCAATACGCGAGACAGCAGCGAGAACTATATTAAACTGATTGAGAAACAAAAAATTGAATTTCTCATCGGATATTCTCGCGTGGAAAGTTAGAAAACGACACGAATGTCGATGCAGATCCAATGTTTTTCGTATTAATAAAATTTATGGAACAAAGATGCACAAAAGTCATCCAAGTAAAATAAGTTGGCGTTTCCTATCGATGCATCGTGCTAGACGGCGCTATCGATTAGATAAGCGATCAAATTTCCAGAATAGTGCTACGACATTTTGTGTCAGAGGAATTTAAAGTGGTCTCACTTGCCTGGCTAGTATAAAGAGGAGCACGGAGACCCCGAGATAAGCCGTTGCCATGTAGATCCAAACGTCGAGGCTAAGAGGGCTGAGGAACGAGAACAAATTCGGCGGTTGCTTTATGGGTTTGCGGTAAAGTATGCTGATCCCTGGAAATTCAAAATTCTCATTTTATGCTTAGCCACGGCGGAGACCGCGGGTAGGTGGGACGCATTGATGTGTGGACACAGTGGACCGAATATAATCACCCGCGAGATTTACTCCGGTTTCCGTTACGGCCGCCTTATGGCTTACACAGATACATAATGGCCAACAAAATTGCGCTCGAGAAATTATTTCGGAGATAAGCAGGACAAAGATCGTTACACGTGTGAGAGTTTAAATTTTATATCGCGTTATTTTAATTTCAGAACAATTTTGCCTCCGTGACACTGTTGTAACGTACAACGTTTTTCCACAAGTACGATTTAAAATTTCCCCTTTGACCCTATGTTTTGTGCAGAATCGCAATTAAGCGGTACACAGTATTAATAAGCATTAAACGTTCTTGCTAAAAGCGTTCACAGCTTTGATACCAATAATATGTTTACCTAAAATGCACGAGTGTTTTTCCCATTGTCCAAAGCTGCGACAGCAGCGAAATATCGTTAAAAAACGTTATTTGAGGCTAATCGCGCGTAAAGGCGTATCTTTTTACAACTCTTTTCATAACGCGTTGATGGAAATGGTAAATTCGTCGCGGTATTTGCCGCAACGCACCTCGTAACGCTGGTTCTCACCTAGAGGCATGAACGGCGTCGTGAAGTCCACAACCTGCGCCCGATCGTACGTGATGGTGAGATCGCCGATCGCGAGATCGGCCTTTTGCTCGAGCAGCTCCTTCATCATTCCGTCCCATTCCTTCGTTTGCGTGTTGTACGAGCCGTAGCGTCCGTCCGGCACCAGCCGGAACGTATAATTGAATCCAAGCAGCCGCGATATCTCGTAAATCAAGTCGATGCTGTAGCCTTCGAATTGCGCATTTCCGGTGAGCTTCTCGCTCGAGTCCTTCCGCATACAGTACGGCGCGCTCTGCGATGAGGTAATGAGCTGCTGTCAATACTGTGCAGCATATAGGCGTTTAAAGGAACGCTACGAGTTTATCGATACAAGCAATCGAGGGGGGTTTATCGACGATAGCTCTTGACGAGGTCGCCAAGTGAAGTTATAATATCTGCAGAAATAATCTCCGCGAAGCTTATATCAGTGTCGAGATTGAAGTTGGCTGCGAAGAGCAAAGCAATATGTTCAACGCTTTTCGCAAGAAAATTCTGAAAAAGATATCAAGATATCAATTTGTAACACTACATTAGTTGTCAAGCGAAACTGATCTGTAAATTTGCGTTTTAAATATAGATAGCAAAATATTTGACGACGGAAACTGAAAGATTATAAGGAGCGCAGCGATGGATAGAATTGCGACACTTCTTTTCAATGAGTTTACAAACGTGCATTTCGATTCAGGATTACGTTCCAAAATCGTCTTCTCCGAGGAATATTTTACTCGATGGCCGTTCCAAAAGCATTTTCAACGTTTCCGATCTATTTCTCGAGTAAAATCTTCCTCATAGAAAATGTTTTGAAGCATAAACCGGAATCTAAACGCGCGTTCCTAAACTCGTTAAAAAGAAGTATTGCAGATTCTGTCCATCACTGCACACCTACGATTTTCGATAAACTAGTTCTACCGTGCGATAGGGCTTGAAATAAATTTAGATATTTAAAATCTCACGACATAAACGTATATTAAAACGGTACTTGTATTTATTCTTGGCAATAGAGACACGTTAATTAATATACGTTTTTATGTCTTTATTGACAATGGAATTTCCTAAATTTTACTGACTTAACAATGAGATTCAGAAAGTGATCTTTTAAAATTTAATACAAGCCTCACGTAACATTCTGTACACAGTTGGAAAATTTGTGTTTTCTTGTTAAAAGAAATGCCCGTTAAAATTTTTGTGTTAAATGGTTAACACATTCATGTGTTAATTTAACAGATTGCTCTTATGTTAATTGACCTTCCACGTAAAATTATTAAAATAACTGAAAAGAAATGTTAAAACAACACAATGTGTACTTATTTTGTAATCTTACACAATATATATGTTTTATATTATTAGTAACAAGATTTATCTGTTAAAATTTACAGAATGAAATGTTGATTTTATTCTATATAACATAAGAGAGTGATCTCGGACCATTTGGCTTATTACATCTGGGCCTGGATAGATCAGTTGGAAGAGCACTCGCCTGGCAAGCTGAAGGTCCTAGGTTCGAATCCTAGCCCGTTACTTTTCTCGCCGAAAAATAAGTGGCGTGTCTTATTGTTAAGTGCCTCCTACCTCCCCGAAGATACATTCCTATTTATTATGAAATGTAAAAATTACATTTTTTAAATTTATTTTGTCATTAAAAAATGTTAAGTTTACACAAAATTTATGTTAAATGATTTTGAGATTTGCATTTATTTTGTGTTAAAATATTAACAGACTATTAGTGTGATTCTTTAACATATCCATATTATGTTAAATTAACACAAAAATTTGTGTGGACCGTTTGGGACATGTGATATCTGTTAAATTTAACACAAATTTTTCAACTGTGTAATGTAGGTACACCTAGGACGCGTTGTATGTTCTTATCAGTGACAGATCCGTTTAGCCGCGGATCCGAAGAAAGGGCATCGAAGTTTTTACGAGGACGATTCTCACGTAACGTACTATGTTTTTTACCATGCGGGAAACTTGCTGTCGTCCCTTCCCCGGGCGAGTTTCAAAGTACTTAATACATTACCGAGTACATTATTTGTCGCCGCAATTAGCGTGAGAATAAGTAATGTGAATCGAGCGCGTCGCGAAAACTTCAATTAAGTCGCGCGCGTATCTGCTTTCCGTCCCTCTTATCCTCTTCTTTCCTCCCCGGGATGAAAAAGGGGGAGCGGGAAGCTAACGAGTGCGCAAGCTTCGCTAATGGATGGAAAAATTTTTCCATCCCGCTGTGACTGCCGCTTAAATGCGGCGACGTTCCTGTTTTGTTCGCGCCTCGATTAAAGCAACGATTTCCGAGCCCCCGCTGCGCGATTGTCACGATTTTTGCAGACACGCCTTCGAACGATATAAGCAATTTAATTTTTTTTTTATTCAAAACGAAACTTTTTTGACACTTTTAAAATTTATATCGCAAATCAAATATCTTTTTCAAAGTTTTTTTTTCCTACAATTTCGTATGCAACTTGTAAGATAATTGTTATAAATCTCCACCTCGTTAGTACAATTTGTTTTAGACGGTAATTAGAGAGATTTAGAAACACGGGCGACTTAAAAACACGAATATTACTTCAATAAATACGTGCAGTACTTTAATAAATTAAACTCCTTAATTAAATGATATTTCGTTTGGGAAAGAATATTAAAAAGGAATACAATTCATATTATACAATCAAATCCGAATAAAATAAAGAAATAGGAAAACACAATATTATACAATCTGCGATTCGTTCGAATTAAATAGTTTTCAATTATTTATGAGCTCGGAAGAAACAAAAGTAGAAAACTCAGGTATTCGTACTTGAAGAATGAAAGTTTCATTCAATATATTATTCTAATGTTTGAGGGAGGAAAGCCGCGCGCTTTTCATTCATTCGTAACGTCACTCACCAATATAGTCGTCACGATGAAAGTCTTATTCTGTAAGCTTTCAACGATTTGAGTGTAAACGTCGCCGTAGCTCCTCGTGAAGTTGATACCTTTGGTACTGTTCCAAGTACCGATTTTCTTCAAGCCTTCTTTGTTATTCAGCTCGATGATGTCTAGAACGAAGTCGGAGCGAAATCCCTGATGATCGAACTTGATAATACCCGTGAGCCCTGTCATCTCTACCTGAAATGTATGTCGAAAATATTTAACGGTTAAAATTGCGGGCACGCAATAAATATTGTATTTTGTTATTAATTGTTATTAGGTTATAATTAAATAGCATTTGCGTAACCACGAGAGATTGTTAATGTTGTGCTTGGAAGCATGTGATATCAAAATATATTGTTGATATTCTTGATTATATTTATTCACATTGAAATATTGAAATATCTAGTGCAACGGTTTATGCGCGAATAAATCCAAATACAACCGATAAGAATTTAATATGCAACGTTGTGCAGGCGTGGGGCAGCGATTCTCGAAAATTGTATGGAAAATTTCGTTAACTGTAAATTTCTCATCTTTTTTTTTTCGCGTCTTAGATGTTTCGTTGCTGGCCAAAAATTGATCGATAATTCAATTTGGTCTAAATATTGTTTACACATAAATCCGCGCTTAATTGCCAACTCGTTCCATGACTGAACCGAAAGAAACTTGAGAATTGAGGTAGACGTATGCGCAGCCAAATTTGGAAACGAGGTAGATTCGTGGCGCATTTATTACGCATACGCGTGTAAAGGGGATATATGTATAAACATTTACAGCTCTGGTTTACAGCTCGTAAACCAGATACGTACCGGGTATCTGGCAACCGTACCTCGGGTGTTACACTTCGCAATTACACGTGAACACTGAAGATGCGTTAATACGCAATTATATTTTGAGACGAAAATTCTCTCATAATAATTTGCTCGTAAAGCGATTCGCGAGTAATTACGCACCGCACGATAACCGAACTCTGTCTCGTCTTTCCCTGTGCACATATTGTACGTTCCCAAAACGACGTGGTGTAATTGCGGACGAAATTCTGGGTGACTGCTTGTAATTACCGCTTCATGAATATCGCGAAATTAAATTCTGCTCTGACACGCGAGATTAATATAGGTGCTATCACCGACGACTTATGACGCGAACCTTGGAAAGACTAAACCGTTTTAATTGATCATTATAGCGTCATTCGACGCGATCGCCGTATCAATGTCACACAAATAGATATACCCTCATATATCCGCCTTAAAAAAAAACTGCTGGTGACAATGTAACGCAAGATCATGATGCATCGTGCACGAAACTTAGAAAACTAACGAGCGATTTCTGACATTTGGAAACATTCTCATCGAGGAAAAATTATTTACGCAAAGCACGAAAATTATCTGCTAATATTTCCTCGACGTTGTACTCTTCTTCTTTATCGGCATAGTACGAAATAATAAGATAATACATTATTCATGAAATTTAGAAAATTAACAAGTAAATTCTGACATTTTGAAATAC